AGTCGTGTTAGTCTGGTCTAGCTGAAACAAAAAACAGGACTATGTAGCACTTTAAAGACTAACAAGATGGTTTATTAGGTGATGAGCTTTCGTGGGCCAGACCCACTTCCTCAGACACCATGGAGCTATAGACTTCAGGGAACTTGAAAGCGTGTTTTGTTAACTAGTTCTATTGTGATTAGAGCTTGGGCTCTTGAGATAAGAAGTGAGCTTTGTATAATTATATTCCTTGACACCATGCAGGAGCTAATTGAAACACAAAATAGATGTTATGGTGACTCTGTGGCCTCGGGGGCTGTGAACAGCAAGCACTCTTACACCATTACTCCCTGTGCAGCTGTTCATGAGGAAGTGTTGCTGTGAACAGCTGTTTGTTATATTTATAACACTTGACAATGAAAATTATGTTGAGAATGCTAAATAACTCTGTTTAGTGGGCGAGGGGAGAAAAAAGAAGAGTGAATACTATAAAGCAACATAAAAGACTAGAAGAATGTATAGTATAGTGAGCACCAAGATGATCACTTGCAGGAACCTTAAAATATAAAAAATGTAGATCATAAAGAATTTTGTTCATAACCTTCATTTTGTCTACAAATGCCGACAGATGAGTATATTAGAATTAAGGATGCTACAGTTAACCAATTAGATGGTTAACCGATAAGTATTAGTTTAAACTGCCTACCGCCAGCAACCCATCGGTCCGGCTGCAGGTCTGGTATGCGAGCCTCCTGTGGGTCCGGGAGCCCATAGGTCTGACAGGGTGTTTAACCATGTAACTGAAATTCAATTGGTTACATGGTTAGTAGATTTTTTTTGAATTTTTACATTCCTGATTATAATTATGCTTTAGAGAATACTAAAATATTTTACAATTTCTGTGTGCAGCACCCCACTGAAATACAGCCACTTCTGTGCTCAGTGGTGGTGTCCAACCAACATGCAGAACAACATAGAGGAATATTTAGGCAATGGATGCAAAGGTGACTTCCTATTTTTATTAGCCCTGGGATCATTCATATTAACAGTTAGTACAGATAGGACTCTGAGAACTGAGGTGTATCCATTGCCTCTGAGGCAATTATTTAACAATTTCAAGTACAACTCCCTGACTGACAAATATAATGAATCACAGTCACCTCTTCTGGGAAATTTTCCTGTAAGGATTTCCTGCCTTTGTTTCAGGATGCGACATTACCATCAAAGGTGCTTTAATGTGTGCACTTTCCCTGGGGCATGTGCCCTGAGTATGTACTTTGTGCATAGTTCAGGTTGGCAATGAATCTTATGGGTTTATTTGGTTTTGATTTTCAGTCCTCTGGCAAAAGGCAGTATTACTAATTCAAGGAAAGCAAGTACCATATCTGATTCCCCTATGCTACCTCTTTGAGCCTACTTGTTGCTTTTGAGCAGGCTAATGTAGTTGTATAACACACTGTGGCTGGTAATTCAGAACATCCACTGGCTATATATTCTTCTACTGTCTAATATTTTCCTTTTAAAGGAAGCAGTATCAATAGAAATTTAATTTGACTATCTGTCTAGTCTCTCACACTTAGTTACAAGCAAATAGCATTCTGTTTTTGGACAACAGTAGACGTGGAGCTCTTCTGAGATCATTTTAGGCTCTGCATCTAATTTTCATTTTCTGAACTATCAAGATGAAGAAAAGGTCTTTGTGCCTCTGGAGCTACATATTTTACTTTCCCCCTCTGTCTAGACAAAAAGGAAAAAGCATAAATGTGTGCTACACCTGGGTTCTTCATATGAGAGCTAAAACATTTCCTCTGGTCTTGGAACTTGCTATGGCAATGCTAAACACAAAGGCTATGTGTACACTCGCGTGTGAGAAATATGCAAATGAGGCTAAGCGTGGCATATCGCTGAGCCTCATTTGCATACCCAATGAGCCGCCATTTTTGCAGAAGAGGCTCTTGCGCCAGAAGGAGCTGCCTATACTGCAAATAATCGGCGTAACGGCATTGCACAAGAGGGTTTTACTTGTGCAAGAAGGGGCAGTGTAGACAGCTCCTTCGGGCGCAAGAGCCTCTTCTGCAAAAACGGTGTCTCATTAGGTATGCAAATGAGGCTCGGCGATATTCCACGCTTAGCCTCCTTTGCATATTTTTCATGCAAGAAGCTGCGAGTGTAGACATAGCCAAAAGGTATAAGAAACGAGTGACTAGAGCTGTGAAGGCATCCATTTTTTATTTTTGGGGGGTGACGGAAGGTTTGCAATTTCAAAATTTCTTCCATTCTGGAACAGAGCAAGACCATTGCTTGCAAACCAAATATTCTGAAAAAATCTGGTTTGGGTGAAGTGAAACATTTTTGTTTTGATAAAATTTGAAATATTTTGTTCTAATTTTGACTTTTTAATACCATTTTCTTCAAGCAGTCAAATTTAAAGGCAGGGAATTCCAACAGGCCATGAAAGAGACCCCCATGATCTGTCTCAGTAGCCTCAACTGTGTGACACACATGCCTAAACTTTGAGGTCCAGAAGTCTGAGTTTTGCAATTCAATTGAGCTGCATTTCAAAATCCTCAACACCCATCCACAGAAACACTGTTGAATCTATGTCGCTGGCAGCGAAGTTGTCTGGTTTGATTAGAAAGGAAAACATCAGGCCAAAACATTGGAAATCTTGAAATCTGACAGAAAATTCTGATGTGAGTTCTTGCATGTACATTTTAATCTCTGCAACACTGATGGTGTGATGTTTGAATAGTTCTTTGAGATGTTGGAAATAGCGGAAAGTTGAGGTGTCAGTGTCCCAAGAAAAAATGGCAAGTTTCACAACAAATGCCTTCCATGTTTCAAAAAGACCTATAACAGTTTGGCCTGCACTCTGAAAACATAGGCTGAGTTTGTTCAGATGTGCACTGATGTCATTAGAAACATTAGTTGCATGAGCCATTTGTCATCATCCAGTTTGGGGTAGTTTTGACCTTTTTTCTGACAAAAAGATCTTGATTGTATCAAGACAGTCCACGAAGGTTCCCACACCTTGACCAATGAACATTGTTATGAAGCAGAATCACCTTGTATTCACTGTCCATTTCCTTAGGCAGGGCTTGAAACTGCTGATGTGTCAAGGCAGATCGAGCAACAAGAAAATTCACAATCTTCACCACTGTAGTCATTGCATTATTAAGTTCAGAGTTAGAAATCTTGGCACAAAGATTTTTTTGGTGAATAATACAATGAAAGTTTACTGTCGGGTGGCCAATGTGATCCTCAATGAACTTTACGAATCCCTTCTGTTTTCTGCCCATAGCAGGGGCACCGTTAGTTGTCACAGAAAATATTTTTGTGATGTCAATTCCCCTTTCCTCAAAAAGAATAACAAACATCTTCGCTATATCTTCCCCTGTTGTTGTGCCATGCATGGGTTTTAGGCAGCATAGCTCTTCTCGAACTTTGTCTGAAGGAACAGTATCTCTCAAGAACTGCTAACCGTGGTACATAGTTTATGTCCACACACTCATCAAGCGCAACTCTAAATACCACTGCAACTCTAAATACCACTGCAAATGCCTCATGTGTCAAGGAAAATCCGCTTGTGGCACATGTGATGGGGGCTGCCAATCCTTCTCTTAGGGTATGTCCACTCTTGGCGGTATAGGGGGAACAAACCTAACTAACCAAACAAGAAAAAGTGGCAGCAAGTGTCATAGTTAGGGCTCCCAACTTTTGTAGTATTTGAAAGCTGGGTATTCCAATAGGTGTGCCAGAACCTTCCCAGCCCTGTCTCTTTGCCCCCACCCCAAGGTTCAATCCCCTGTTCACTCTTATACATAAATCACCCCCACAAGAGGAGTAGCTAACAGTATTTGGGACCCTGTTTACACTGGCTTTTTACAGCGCTATAACTTGCTGTGCTCAAGGTGTGTGTGATTTTTTTTTTTCACACTCCTGAGTGATAGTTACAACACAGTACATTTACAACACAGTGCAGACAAGCTGCAGTGATCATTCCACCACCGGTCAAATTATTATGCCTTCATAGATGCGATAAATCAGCCAGGTTGAGAAGAGTAGGCAGAGTTGACAAGAGAGCAGCCTCCCACCGACTTTACCACCGCGATAAGCAGGGTTCGACAAATAATGCAATCTACTCACCCATGGCGAGTAGATTACAACCCAGAAGAGCCGGGTTTGGGCAACCTGCACATGCGCAGATCGCCGGACAGTGTGGCTGGCGAGCGGGGCTCGCTGCGGTTTGGCGAGCCCTGGCAATAAGTATGTAGATTTCAACTACATTATTCACATAGCTGAAGTTGCATATCTTAGGTCGACGGCAGGGCATAGTGTACACTAGGCCTAAGTTATTGCCAAACTGTCTCCTTGAGTCTTCAAACTGCCCAGAACAATAGTTCTGGGAACTGCAAATTACTCTATTCATGACTTGTCAGTGGGTTGTTAACCCTAGATCCAAGAGATGATTTTTTAATTTAACATTCCAGTGCTGATCGCTTTACCAGAAACATCCAACAGTGCTTATTTCACAATCTCAAACTGCCTCCATCTCCTGAGGTGTTAAAACATTAGCTATCCCCTACCCAGCTGTCACAATTTCCAGTTCTCCCTGAAAACATCTGCAGTGCTCTTAGCCAACTTTTGTATAATGCATATTAGAAGTGTAAAATAAATGGTATTTAAAACAAAATAAATAAAAGGCTAGAGTACTTACAGTGTATTTAAATATTTAATTTAATAAAACCCGCTAGAAACTGGTATGATTTTTGTTGCAGAGTCTAGGTTCAATATGTTACAGAATACTCAGGCCATTAAGCATACGTAAGATTAGTATTCCTGGATTCTGTCAATTTTATCTCCTTGACCTTTCAGGACTGGCTGTCATGAATATTATTTTTTTGACAGTATGTTAGCTACCATGGTTACACTGAAATGGTAGATTCAATTCTATTTTATTTATTCACCTTCTATCTTAGATATCCCTTTGTGGAATTACTACTCGTGGTTTGACTGCTTACCTTTTGTTCCAGATTCCCCCATCTGAACTTATTATTGGGCACTGGTACAAGCTGGTGGCTCACTTCATATTTTTGATATATTTTCTGTGAAATGTATACGCAAATATGTCTTAATAAATTGATATATTGAGCATAGTGCTTGTTTTATGATATATTTAAGGTGGCAGACTGCTACCAGCATATGGCCTAAGTACTCCTTGTGCCTATTGGTTGGATGTAGTGAGGCCTAACACTCAACTTGATGGCCCATATCAGACAATTATGATTCATCATTTGGTGCAGTGGGCCCAGAGATTCCTCTGCCTGCAGTACCAAATGACACATTGAAGGAGAGAGATGACCAAAATAGGCAGTAGAGTTAGGGTTAGGGTTTAAGGTTACTGGAGGGAGGTAGTCATGACTGGTTGATTTACCTTTGTCACAATAAAAAAAAAAAAAGGTTTGGTAGCACTTTATAGACTAACAAAACATGTAGATGGTATCATGAGCTTTCGTGGGTACAGCCCACTTCTTCAGATGACCGGAGTTATGAGTTTAGGATGTGCACATCCAAAATAAATAGAGGAGAAGGGGAGGGGGGAGGGAAGAAAAAGGAAGGGGATGGGAGACAGAGAGCAGAGGGAATCGGTAAGTATCTGAGGATTGGGTAGTTAAAATGAAGCAGATAAGAATCAAAGTCAATGGATAGTATCCTTCCTGACATGGGAGTCCACACAAAGAGCTATTTGCACCTTCAATGGCTGTTAAATTGGTAGTGTTCCAACCAGCTTTCATCACGATTGAGTCCACTAGCATGTGAATTGAATTTGCAGATGAACTCTAATTCCAGTGCTTCCCTGTGGACTCTCCTTCTGCCCCACCACACCCACAAACATGATTCAGTTCTGTGGGGATCTGGAATACTATTTTCGCCGACTCCACCTGAAGGAATATTTCCAACACACCGATATACAACATACTGACCTCACTGCTCCCCACCACCAATCCCACAAGAGGAAAGCTTCTATGTGGACCCCCACCAACGGATGTAACGGAAGTCTTGATTTCTACATTGACTGCTTCTGCAAACGCGCTCAAGCTGACATTATCAGCAAACAACAACATATAATGCAACCTCAGTCATGCAGAACGCAATGCTATTCACAACTTCAAAACAAACCCTAACACCATAATCAAAGAGGCCACCATAAACAAAGGAAGCGCTGTAGTCATCATGAACAGGAGGCAAACAGACAACTCACCAATACCAGATTCTACAGACCTCTCTCCTGTGACCCCACTAAGGAATACCATAAAAACATAAAAAAACTGCTCATGAAACTCCCTGATGCTGCTCAGGAACAAATTTACACTAACCCCCCGCATACCCAATCAGGGACTTTCTATCTGCTACCCAAAATACACAAACCTGGTAATCCTGGATGGCCCATCAAGGGAAAGTTATTGATATGAAATTGATAGTTCTACATCTACTATGTATTTGAGAGAGTCTGTGCTTCTCTGTCTACCCATCAATTACGCCTAACCAGTAAGCTAGGGCTATCAATTTTGTATGCACCTTTCTCTTATAACTTAAAAGCAAGGTCAGGATTTGGTTTTGCCATGACATTGGGATGTGTATGGAATGCAATTTTATCATCAAAAGGAAAGGGAGAGCTGTGATAGCAAGGACTGTTATACTCCAAAATGACCACCCGGGGGACAGCAAGCTAGCGCGCCCCCACTGTCCTGACAGCCCTGCGGAGCAACCACTGGCTAGACAGTGCAACCCCCACTGCTTCGGGATTGCCCTGGGGAGCAATGCTGGTGGCAGGCTGGCTAGTGCAGCCCTCACCACCCCGGGATGGCCATGGGGAACAACACTGGCAGTGGGCTGGTCAGTGTGGCATCCAGCACCCTTGGATGCCCCCAGGGAGCAGTTGCTGGCTAGCATCATCCCCTGCTCTGACTCATGTAGTCCCTGCCCACTCCCCTGTGGTGGTGGCTTTTCTCAGGAAACGGGGGTTGCATGTCTTTCTGTACCTTGAAAATTGACTAGTAAAAGGCTGGTCCCGAGCTCAAGTGGAATCCAACATCCATTCAATCCAATTAACTTTCTAGGTCCTAGGCCTACTGATAAACACACAGAAATCCACTCTTGCCCCAGTGCTGAGGATAGTTAATTGGTTCAGTCTTTGACTCCATTCAGGCAAGAGCTTTGCTCCTGGAAAATTGGTTTTGAGCAATCATGATCTTGGTAAGGTCCTTCCAGACCCACCGGGTCACAACAGCTCAGAATGTTGGAGTCTTCTGGATCACATGGTGTCATGCACTTTATATAGTGCAACATGATAGGTTGTGTCTTAGATCTCTCCAAGTGTGGCAGGCCACAGTGTGTTCACCTATCCTGTAGCATGTTGATTCAGTGCTCACCATTCCTGTTCAAGTCCTCAGTTCACTGGCTTGGTAGCTGAACCACTGCATGATCAGTGATGAGGGAGTGCCCTTTTTGAAACCCCATATATGAGTGTCTCTGGTCTTGGATGCATCAGTACTGCACTGGGGAATCCACTTGGGGCCCCTTAAGACTCAAAACCGATGGTCCTCAGAATTGCGCTCTTTTTGTATCAGCGTCTGGGAGCTCAGTGCAGTCCATCTAGTTTATAAAGCACTCCTGCCACACATCACAAACAAAGTCATTTTGGTTCTGATGGACAGTAGCCTGCCACGTTTTATGTCAATAGGAAGAGTGGAGCTCACTTTCTCCCTTCCCCAGCCCGTGCTAGGAAGCAATCCTGCTGTGGGAGTTTGGATAGTGCATTCACTCCACCTTGAGACATGTGCCTCCTGAGAGTGCAAAACGAGCTGGCAGATCACCTCAGCAGATCTTTCTCCTTTTACCACGAATGCTTCCTTCAGCCACACATTACAAGGGGCATTTTCCAGCAGGGAGGGACTCCCCTTATAGACCTGTTTGCAACCCACAACCACAGGAAATGCCACTAGTTCTGTTCCCTCCAAGGCCCATGCCTGTGATCTCTTAAAGGACATCTTGCTTCTATCCATCAATAGATCAACTGTATTATCCCTTTCTCATATCCTGATAATATACAAGGTTCTGATGAAGATCAAGCAGGACTGGGTCCTACCCTGGCCCAGGCGGCATTGGTTTGCCACCCTCTTAAACCTCCAGATGGAGACCTCATTCATGCTATACCCAAACCTGTTTTTTTGAGACCACGCTCAGCTGTTGCACTTGAGCTTCAGAGCTCTTCATCTGAGGGCCTGGAAGCTCCATGGGGGAGCATTTTACAATCCTGAGGAGCACGTTTTCTCAGAGGAAGTACATTTTATCCTCCGAGGCAGTAGAAAACTCCACTAGAGCCACTTACCTTGTAAAATGGAAGCGATTCTCTACCTCATCCTCCCAATGTGGCAATCTGCTTACGTAATCTTAGTGGCAACTCATATTGGAGTACGTGTTGCATCTGAAACAATAAGGCCTGACTTTCTTACTTTCAGTCAGGGTCCACCTAGCAGTGATATTAACCTTCCATCCTTGCATCAGCAACTGGCCTGTCTTTTCACAGGAGATGGTTATCTATTTTATCAAAGACCTGGAGAGGCCCTGGAGGTTTTTCGCCTTCCTCTGTAGCATGGGGCACGGATCACTGCTGGAGGATTCTCTGCATCTTGGGGCCTTTAAACCATTTGAGGACTTCAATATCTGAGATATAGGTGAGAGGATTATTCCAGGAGTGGGTGAGTGAGATTCTGTGGCCTGCATTGTGCAGGGGGATGATGATCATAATGGTCCCTTCTGACCTTAAAGTCTATGGCTATGTCTAGACTGGCATGATTTTCCACAAATGCTTTTAACGGAAAAGTTTTCCGTTAAAAGCATTTGCGGAAAAGAGCGTCTAGATTGGGAAAAGCGTCCGTGCCAATCTAGACGTGGTTTTGCGCAAGAAAGCCCTGATCGCCATTTTTGCGATCAGGGCTTTTTTGTGCAAAACAATACCGCATTGTCTACATTGGCCCTCTTGTGCAAAAGCATTTGCGCAAGAGGGCTTTTGCCCGAACGGGAGCAGCATAGCATTTCCGCAAGAAGCACTGATTTTAGACAGTAGGAAGTCAGTGTTCTTGCGGAAATTCAAGCAGCCAGTGTAGACAGCTGGCAAGTTTTTCCGCAAAAGCAAGTGCTTTTGCGGAAAAACTTGCCAGTCTAGACGCAGCCTATGAGTCTATGAGATTATGCCCCCAGTAAGAGAGACTATTCCTCCTGACACCTAAACCTTGTTTTTTCAAAACTTACAAGTCCCCCGTTCAAACTACTGGGGATATACTTGATGCTTCACTTCTCCAGGAAAGTGGCCTTCTTAGAGGCCATCTTCTCAGCCAGAAGGGTTTTGAAAATCTGTGCCCTCATCTTGGAGCCCCATATATGATCTTCTTCAGGTATAAGGCTCAGTGGGTCCTCACCCAGCATTCCTCCTGAAAGAGGTTTCGCAGTTCATCAAGCAATCATCCTACCCCTGTTCTTCCTAAAGCCGTGTGTGAACACGGAGAACAATGTCTACACTCCTTGAATTTTAGACATGTCTTGGAGTTCTGTATACAAAGAACCAAGCCATTTTGGAGCTCACCTCAGCTGTCTGTAGTGATAACAAAGAGGATGAAGGACCATCTGCTGCCATCTCCACCACAGGATTTCGTCCTGGATTACATCATGCGTTTATGCGTGTTACAGGCTTGCTTATATTTTGCCTCCGGCTAACCAGACTGCTCATTTTACAAGATCACAAGCCTCTTTAGCTGCTTTCCTTGTGCAGGTCTCTATTCATGACATCTAGAGGGCAGTAACCTGGTCCTTGGTGCATACAGTCTCAGTTCACTATGCCCTCAGTCAGCAGGTCAGAGACAATGCCGACTTCAGCCATGCAGTCCTGCAGTCAGCTTGTTCTTGAGCTCTGAGCTCACCTCCAGTGCAATTGCTTGGGAGTCACCTTCATTGGAATGAACACGTGCAAGCACTCAAAGAAGAAAAACGATAATTAACCTTTCTGTAACAGTTCTTTGAGATGTAGTGCACATATCCATTCCAAAACTCACCCTCCTTACGCTCTTATTGGAGTCACCTCCTCAGAAGAAACTGAAGGGATGCAAGATCCTGGTGCTATGAGAGCATGGTGCCAGAGGGTGCTGAAGCTGACCCGAGGGATACCACTAGGAGAAAAAATTCTAGCAACTGTGCTTAAGGCGCAAACACACACCTGCATTGGAATGGGCATGTGCAGCGCATCTCAAAGAACAATAGTTACAGAAAGGTTAGCAACTGTTTTTTCTATAAATTGCTTGCTTGAGTTATTCTTTGAAAAGAGAGATTTCCTGGATATTGAAGATCAAATGCAGGGAACAGACATTGGGATAATTAGCACTAGGAATAGACTAATTTATGGAGCGTCAGAAAGTGCTAGCAGCTACTGAGCTGCAGCTTTGCAAGAGAGATTTGACTTTAAAAACAAGGTGATATACAGTTTTCTATCAAATTTACTCCACTCAGATCTGTTTCTTTTAAAAAGGTCTATTAAAGCTCTAGAGATGATTTAAAATGTGACCATAAGATTTTTAAAATATTGTGCTTACTGTAGTTGTATTATGACTGTGAGATTGTACGTCCACTGCAGACTCAGTTAAAATGACCAGAGTGTGTATGTGACTGAGCCTCATAGTGCCAGGGATTGCATTCACAACTTGGTAGAAATATGAAGGACTAATTAATTTGCATATACATTGTTGGAATACTTATTTACAAACAAAAATCCATACAAGCCCAATATTTTATTTATTTGTATCTTTCTTTGTGTAAGGCTAGAGACTGCATGTTGTATTTCCCAGCAATCAAAACCAGTGTAGCTAATGAGCTTTGTTTCCTCTTTATGATGTTGAAAGTAGGAGTCTGTGAGCACTCTTCTGATTTATATCTCAAATTCGATAGGCAGATGTAAACGATGTATCTTGTCGAGGCTAAAGCTTTTTCGCTGTCCCTTTTCTGAAAACTGATGACAGATTTCTTTAAAGAACAGTAGCTTTTAGTAAAATTGCAATATTGACTTTGTGTCTTTCTCATTGTGAAATATCTCCCATCTCTCCCTTTTCTGGAAGCAAGAAGAGAGAAATTATCTGGAAATCCTCTTGTTTTGCTGTACCAGTAATTCAAGGTGGCTGGTTGTGGGAGACATTCTTTCTTATACTGAAAACCTGGTAGAAGGGTATAATAATTCTTAGCACTTATATATTATTGTATATGTCCAAATTATTGTACGGACAACCCCAGTGGGTTGAATACAATACAATCTGTAGCTGATTAGCTTTTGAGCAATCGTAAATTAAATAACTATTTAATTTTCAACATTTGGCTATCAGAATAGTTACATTAATAAATTTACCTTTATAAAAGAATTCCAAAGTGTTGTTTCATATGCCCAAGAATAAAGTCAAAATAAAAAGAGTAATCATGATACCCTATTATCCTCTGCTATTTTTACACATAGACCAAGAATCTCTCTATGGGTCCAATTTGCATTTCCAGGTGGCTAATAAATTTATTGAACTGATAGTTTTCATTAGGTATTGGGTACATACTTGCTGTTAGCCAAGGTAAAAATATCTAATTCTCTTTCACATTAGGTTGAGCTAATCTAAAATAGATCTTCTTTAACATAATGAGTTGACATTTAGATACATAGTAGTCTATTCTTATGAATTCAGGTTCTCCAAACTGCATATCTAAGACCACACAAAAGCCTTTACCATATCAATGCCAAATAATTGCTGGATGTATTTTGCAGAAGAGAAATAGCTGTCAATATATGCTACAAGTCCAACTTAATCCTGCAGAATTTCACTACTGACCTGTTAGATTCTTATATTGGAGGAGGAAATGTTTGTATGAATTGGCAGCTTCTGTTTTTAAAAAAGATTGGGAAACCTTTCACATATTTTCATTTCATTTTCATTGTCAGATTACTATCCTCCAAAGTCCGATACATTGATTCACTCTTTATACTGTAGTATCGTGAATGTTTTTAAGTAAAATTGAGCGAATAAATTATTTTATTACATAGTAATCTAGAGGAGAGGCAAGCTATCATTTTTCTTTTATTCTGGTATTCCATTAAATTG